AGTTTGATTCGATCATGTGAAATGTAGGACCACAGCAGGGGGTAGACAGCTATTGGTTTATTGTTCATACATCCTCACTCTTGTTGGTCTGGGGAGTCCCAGTAACCACATGAAGGGTTGCAGTGGGAAAACAAGTGTTCAGGCCTGACATCCAGACAAGGCTTAGCCTAAGGATGTTCCTGCCTCAGCTTACATAGTTTCTCTTTTTCACTAGTGTTTTGAACTGTTACAGGCACTTGTTGGTGATAAGACATTGGCATTTCGACTGATGGATGCAGAGATGTATACAAACATGAGTGTGCTCATGCCTCTTACGCCAGTTATTGATCGTGGAATACAGCTTCATAAAATGATTCGTCTCATTACTCATGCACTTGGAGGAGAGAGCTATCTGAACTTCATGGGTAAGTAATCTTAGGAACCAGTCTTTCATTTTCTCATCTACTGAATGCTTGGCAGGGAAATAAAATGATCTGACATAATCGTAGATCCACAGAATTTATCACAATGCTGAAGTCTAGAGCATAAACACTTTCATAGATTTAGTACAAAAAGGTAATATGCATTGTTTTTCTGTCTGTAAGATGTATTGTAAGACAAGAAAATAAAATCAAGATGGTTCCTAACTGTAACAGAAATAACTTTTAAAAATGTGGTAAGCTCTACTTTGGATTACTCTGAGTTACAACTTAGACTAGTGTTTTAATTGTTGTTCTGCACGTTTGTCAGGTGATAAGCCTTGTCTCAAGCAGCTGGGTTGTCTTTCATCTCTATTAGTCTTTCCTAAACATTTTAAGGTAACAGTGACTTGACTAAAGATAGCTCTGTGCTTATTTCAGTTACTGATTGTCAGGAAGTAGTCTGAACTTGTATCTTATTGCTTTTTGGTAATAAGCAGTGGCTTAATGAGTTAGGCAAGAATAATTCACAGTGACAGGAGGCAGATTCTGCTATCAAAGCGCAGAAACAGTAAGAGCTGGTAGTACTTTTTGTCCATCGTCTGTAAAATACAACTGCTGCATTGCTGCTTAAGCATAGTTACTACAATAAATTTCAGTAATGTCAATCAGCAAGTTACAGTTCCATGTCGTCATCTTAAATATTGAGTGTCGCTCTTAGTTTTATCCAAAATTGTGAAATTATTTGTCATGCTTGTTCTTTACCATATTCATTCCTTAATTTCTTTGCAAAATGATTCTAACTTTATCGTAAAACTCACGATTTTGTAATGTGGTCTGAGAAGTTCTGTAGAGCAGTTGTGATAGTCTCATGGGGAGGGGAAAAAAAAGGCTGAAAGCCTGCTATAAAATCACCATCTCAGTTTTCTGATCATGAAACACTTGAAAATTGTAGAAATTTTAGCTTAGTATCATCTTCTACTTTTATTGTGAAACATACTGTTTTATGAAGTCCAAGGAGACTGTTGGATAAGTATTGCTCTTCTTCCATAATAGTGTATTTAAGAACATATTTTCTGTTTAAAAAATGAGAGAACATAAGACAATGGTGATATTTGATTTAAGCATGTATGTACTAGTACATGTACTCTTTCTTGGTAATAGAAGAAATCTCAGAAAACACCATGCTGGTTTTCTTAAAAGTAATTGAAGCAACTTCAGTACAGAACAAATCAATTCAGTATATGCAATACTAGTAAAACTATTGTTTCCAAGAAAATGCAGGGATTTTTTTTCTCAAAACTGAAACAGAGTTAATCAAATAAATATTTATGAGGTGTGCAGTCAGACACCAAAATGTGCAAGGTGTGAGGTGTATGCTTCCATTCAAACTAGTGATGCTGCAATAGTTGAGGAAACAGGTGTTTAAAAATTACTCCAGCTACGCTGCAGATGTCTTCACCCCAGATTGACTTGGTAAGATTAGAAAAATGATCAGTAATTCAATGTGGCATGTTAAATTCAGTGTGTCAATACAGGTTGATTGTGCAATTAATATTGGGTATCTTCATGTACTGCAAATGTTTCAGTAACTACATTATAGTTTGTATATGTAAAAGATGATAAGACTAATAAATGTTGGAGGACAACATGTATAAACTCAAAAATGCTTGTTGCAGCATGGCATCTAGTTATGCAAAAACAATGACAAATGAGTTCTTTAACTTCCAGTTTCGCATGAATGCTGAGGGTGAGAAAGAGAAGCTTCCTGTGGGGTGGGAGAAATGGAAATCATCTTTCACAACACCTGGAGAAGGCATTCCAGGTGCTTCTGTGCTTTCTTAGGTCCTTCCCTAAGCATCTTACAGCTTTTTTTTTCTCTAGACAAAGACAGCAAAGCGATGCACTGTTTTCTCAATGCTTTACTTACCTTAGGGAAAAGCAAACTGTGCCTAAAATGGGTGTTATCTAGAGTGGAAATCTGCATTCTCAAATGTATCCTGGAATTTCTCTTTGAAGATGTGGATTAGTATTTAATTATGTGCAAGCTGGAGTACCATTTATGCTTCATACGTGCAAGCAGGTTCCTGTTGCGAGAAGCTGTGCCCCATTGAACACTGAACACTGATTGTGGCTTTCTCCCATTTTTCTCACTTTTCACACTGAATGGTTCTCTGTCCTTCTTGCATGTATCCATAAGAAACCACTGCAAAGATCCTGAAATCTGTGATTCTTATTTTTCATGTTTCTGGATGTTTAATTTGCACCAAAGGCTTTTATTTTTCTTTCCAATTACTTACATCCCAATATTCGCAATCAGTGATGTATGCAAACATAAATGTGAATAGGAAAGTTTTGTCATTTCAGTAAATTGGTTCCCTTGTAACACAAACCTTTGGGAGTATTCTTTCCTCCAGTCTGTGCTTCAGTTTTCTGTGCAGCTTTGCAAGTGATCTCTGGGGCTTTGTGTGTGCATCTGGCATGGAAGACTTAACCTAGAAAGGGAAAAACTCCATATGCTTGGCTGAAAATGAGCATAACAATGATAAACGTCCTGCTGTAGTAAATGAACACTCTGGAAGTTTCATTGTAATCATAAAGTAACAGTTGTTTTGAAACTTGTGCTATGCCTTAATGTTCTGCTTTCAGAGCAGGTGCAGAGCAACAATCCTAATGTAGCTGTAGTTTGTTCAACTGAAATCCTATTTTAGACAAATATTTTAATACTGAGATTGGCCAGTACTGGTCAGAAGATGTCATGACTTTAGACAGTCACAAAAGTTCCAAGTTCTTCTGTATAATGCTTTAATAGGAGCACAGGTGGTGCTTCTTTAAGGGTTGCTTTCTTCACATCTAAGCTTCCATGAAGATGTTGGCATAGACAACGTGCATTTGGTTATCTGAACTTAAATGTCACTTAAAGCCTCAAGCAGTCATAGGATGTCTTTATTAAACAGTTAAAGTAATTTTTTGATTGTAGATAATAGGGAGAAAACCTTTGAATTGTACTCATGTATTTTTGCTTGTAGTTGTAGTGATATTAAAATACAATAAGCATCTAATTTAATTTAAAACCACAATAGTGGGTGGAAAAATATTGGGAGGCATAGATTTCTGCCCTCCTCAATATAAGGATTTGAAAACAAATCCAAAATGAAAAACCCTGTACCTGACTAAACTTTTGATTGTAAATTTTAACCCCCTACAAAATATCAAAAGACTTGAGATTTGAATCTAATTCCTCAAACACTAAAAAAGGGCTAATTGAAGTTGTTATAAAACTTCTAGAGTATTACAGGAATCTTCTGATCTCAGCTTGAAAATAAAGCAACCACTGTTATTATGCACTGGACAATGTTTAACTTCAGTGTAAAAATCATATTTCCTGAAAATAGTAGTTGAACTTACAATGGCAAAACTGTTCTGTCTGTACATCCTTTCATTTTCCTTTAGCGTCATTTTCTATCCTGCCCCTGAAGAAGAGCTCTGGACAACTGTAATTTAAACTTTCCTTTAAATGTTTTTTTTCTATTTTCTTGTTCTTTGCTTGTGCCCTGCACTTAGGGAAACCCTGTGAGACGTAGAAAAAAACTGTGCCATTTCTTCAATGAACTTGTTTCCACATTCTCTCTTTATCTTGTAAGATTACATCTATTTGTCTAGGTTTAGACAAGCAAAGGTGGGGTTTTTTTTGCCTTGAATATATGTGAGCTCCAACCCAAGGAGGCTTAAACAGCATTTTGGTTCCTTGGGATCCCTCATAGCACAAATGCTTACTGGTTTATGCCTTGGTTTTCAGCTTGCTAACAATCATTTTCTTACTTCCTTTTTCATTTGAAATTGGATTAAACTCAATTCTATTGATTTAAATGAAGATTAGTTCCTACATGAACCCCTAGCACTGGTTTTCATGACTCTTCTGTAGTAAAACATCTCTTAATTAGGACTCCAGAGACCAACTCTCTATCTCTCTCTGCAAAACAACTTTTGAGATATATATCTCAATATATAGCTAGGAAGTGATTCATAGTAACTAGAAGATTATTTTCAATCATGAGCATTGACTGATGGTGTTACCTTTTGGACTGACATTTACCTTTGTTTCACTAATATCAAATTTGACTGTTAAGCTTCCTTTTCTCACTTAGCTAATTTACACAGTAGTTTATCTGCTTTATCTATTGTTAGGGGTTTTTCTCATGCATTGAAAGTCTCATCTCTAATGGTTTGGTGTGATGAGACCTTGTTCTTTCTTTGGCCTTGAAAATAAACTAAAATGCAATGCTGTGCATCATAAATACCTCTGAGTATTTTAAAGAGAGGAACTTAGATATTTGTTCATTTATTTTTAAACTAAGATTTCATAACAGGAGGCTTTTGAAAAAATGTTGACAAGAATGGTGCAAATATTGTATCGGTAGCACCAATATCAGGGTGGGCAAGGTGTGTGCCATTTACTTTAAGAATATTAATTAAAAATCTGAAATGAAGATGATACAGCATAATTTACAATACAAATGGGAATGTTATTTTTAACAGAATCTGAACTAGTACTTTCATTGACACGTATTCTAGATAAAAGAATAAATTGTATCAGGAACCAAGGATGTTTAACTTAAACCTGAGAGAATTTGGTTCTCTTAGGCATGTTTCAAGCCCATCACTTGCATTTTCAATTTTTTTCCCTGTATATTTTCTCAGACTTACTACTCCTGTGCAGTGGTTACAGTGTGATGTTTTAGATCATGACCTAAAAAGTGGCCTTGCAAGAGCAAATGCTCTTCAGACTTGCTCACTTTAGTCAACTCCTCTTGATAAACAACCTTGAAGTGCTCAGTTGGTACAGACTGCAGCTTCAAGAGAGGTAGTTTGAAGTCATCTTTCTTAATATGCTTACCTAGTATAGCTGAAAAATGTGCTGCTGGTTCATGTGGGTGCTTTAATTTCATGGCAGTCTGACAGAAGCAATTATGTTCATTTTAAGGTAGAAAACAAGAAGGGTGTAA